TTCCGCTTTTATGTTACTGATTTATATGTTAACATACATGTTATATGTTATACCAATGTTGTATTTTAATCAGAGTGATCAGTGTTGAAAAAGTCCGTAATTCAAAAATAAATATCAAAAAAGGATAAATATTTTGGAAAATAAAAAGAAATTAACCAATAAATACTTAGAGATCAGAAATTGTGATCATGTGTTCACCATTGATGATTTCTCACTATTGGTGGTGAGTCAATAAAATGTAGGTCTCTTCCGTTTGTGGATGTTCGTCTATCCTTTTATTTCATAGTGAACTAATTATAGAAAAATTCATTCTTAATTCTTACTAAATGTGAAAACTGAGGATGTTTTTATTTTCCTTTCTAAAAGATCAAAATTTAAGCATTTTGAGCTTTCATAAGCACTAGTTATTTGTATGTTGTATTGAGGATCAACCGTTTCAAAATATTTTCAAAATATTTTATACAAAGGTAATCTGGATTAAGATGGAAGAAATATTTTGCAGGTGTTGAGTCTAAGGAACATTCAAATCTTCTCTTCTACTGTTTTCTACTAAGTATAGTGAATAACTTATTAATGACTTCCAAGTATACTGCATATTTCTACATTTAATGTGTTTTGTAAGAATTAGCAATAGCTCTGCATTTACTGAAATGTGATTTCCAAGCACTTATTTATTCCTTTTGAATATATCTTTTTATTGCAAATTTTATATTGAATTCAGTACGTAACTGAAAAAGGGTAACAAAGGGGAGAAGTATAAATGCAGTTGTTTAACAGACCCAATCATTTCTTCTGTGAGTAACTCTAACATGAATTGCTTCTGTCATAACTATGTTACTAACGTTATTATAAATATTTACTCGCACAAACCTCTCTCTTAAAGATATATTTTGTTACCAAAGTAATTATGTTAGATGTTCATAAGAAAAACGGTATGTGTTTAGAGCTGATATTTGTTGACTGCAGAGGACTCTTAGACTCATATAATACGTAGGCTGAAGTTTCTACATTTTACAAAGCCAAAGGAGAAGTTGGTATGAAGCATTTAAATGTTTATTGGTAAATACTTGTATTAAGTATATATACAATTTTTTATTCATATTTTTCTGTTCATTATAATATTTTGTTAATTTCTAATATGAAAATAGTTTTCTAGTTGGATGTTTTAGGTATAACCTTTAACAGTACCTTATAGGACTCCTAAGGTCTGTGCTTTCTGATATCGGTAAATTGTGTTTTTCATTGAATTAGTCAGTTTTCAGCTTGTAACATTTCTATTTTGTATATTTATAATTTTGACACAACAAATGCATAATTACTTAGAATAAAATAGATTCATATATAAATTAGTCATAAGACTCTAGAGATCATAGTGTCTTTAATTTGGACTCTCTGATACACAATATATTTCTTAAGTTTTTTTTATAATTTTTACTATAAATTAAACTGAGTTGAAAAATATTAAATAGAAATGGTAACTCAAATAATGTTTTTCTGTTTTTATGGAAAATCTGTTTAAGCGGAATAATTTTTACTGGACTTACCACTCTTGCTTTTGAATCGAGATTTCATAACTTTTAATACATTTCTTTTATTAAAATTGAACCAGACAACACATCTGAAAAGATGAACTCTTCCTTTCTTCTTTATGTAATGGAACTTCATCCATGATCTCCATGACCTGATGGTCCACTGGAGTTGTTGTTCTCAAATATAAAATCTTTTTCACAACGGATTTCACTGAATATCCTTAAGCCTAAATCACTAACAAGACCGCGGTAAATTATTTTCACAATTTATTAACCACGCCAACAATAATTTTAAATAAAATTCCCGATTAATTCTTTGAAACTAATTTCACAAAACGCCAAAAAAGTTTTTATGAAATAATTTTTCTTAGCATCAATTCCACGAGATAACTGAACATACTTCGCATCCAACGAGAACTGATTATTATGTGCATTATTTGCAAATGCAACGGGGGGAGTGCAGAGCTGGTGGTGATCTTGAATTTCTCTTATTCCCAGCACCTTTGCGGCATTGCTTATTAAAACAACGGTTTTTTAATTTCAACTTTTGGATGGCGGTTCGCGGGGTGTTGCTAAAGGTAAGTTCGATTTTTGACTATTTTCCTTGCTGATCATTGCAGAAATGTTTACAATGACTTTACTTACAGTGTTGGACATATTGAACGGTAATTGGAATTGATTTGCTTATTTCTGAGTTACTTGTTTTTTATTGTAAAAAAGAGTTTCTGTTTTGTTTGTGATTTTAAGAGAACAGAGCAGAGAGTGCAGGAATCAAAAATAGCACCGAAGATGAGTTGTGAATGTCAACAAAACAATATGTGAGAATTTATTGTTCTTGTAATAAAAAAATAAAAATTTCTTATTTAAGACAATTTGATATATATATGTATGTATGTACATATTTTATTAATATTTGACATACATATATGTATATATATATATATGTATATGTATACACATATATATATCGACTGTTAATATTTTCGTGAAATAAATTACATTAGGATTTTCAAATGTTTTGTTCTTTATTTCTTAGATTAATCGATTTCTTCAATTTTTATATCTACATACACATATACATAAGGACATGCTCAGTATATCCAGCAATTGCAAGTATATCCAATAATAATATTTGCTTCGATAACTGAAATAAAAATAAATATTAATCCAAATTGTTAATTTTTCATATTGTTATGAGAGAAATATAAAAATTATTGTTAATATATGGAAACATTGATCGTAATTTCTTTCATACAAATAGAGAAATTATTTTATGGAATAAAAATGTGCTCAACGTCATTTTACAATGGTTACAACAGGGGTAAAATATGTTCTGATTGTTGACTTGCTCGGAAGGATATATAATTCTCCACAGAAACAGTCATGCATATATAAATACATAATTTAAAACATAGTTAACAATTTGGCATCATTACTTAAATAACTTTTAAACGTACAGCCATACAGCCAAACAGCTTAAATACACAAGATAACCCCATTTTGTTGTAATGGCCACTCTTAAAGTCTAGATTCTATTCATGAATTTCATGTTTTATTAAATATATTAGGTTCCATTCTTTCAAAATAACTTAACTAGTGCTAAATGCATTTCTGCCCATGCTATTTGGGAACTCATATTGCACCTTGGCGTCCAATGTACTGATATTCCTATTTTCACAAGATATTCCAGGAATAAAACTTTAAAGTTTAGAACAACAACACACAGCAACGTGAGACGGTGATCCTGTAATGTGTTATACGTGGCTAGCAGTTTCGAATAGCGTTGGAATATTTTTTTTCCCATTACGAAAAGCAGCAATTTGCTCGTGGATAATCTATGTATGTTCAATATTAACACCGGAGACCTGATTACATACAAATATTAAATTAAATATTTTAACAAAAAAAAAATACATTCATATGTAAATATAAATATAGTAAACATTTACTATATTATAATGGACTTAAAACAACATTTACTTCAGCAGTCCTTAAATTTAAAAATATAATTCCACACATACAAACGAGTATAGTTTATCAATAGTATGTTTTATTCTTTTTCATGATCAGGGCAATAGTTGCTAATTAGAAAGTAGAAATAGACTATTAAAATCGATAATTGAATACCAGGATACCAAAAATTGTGACTAGCTAACTGAATTTCTTAAACAATATACTAGTAAAGAATATGTAGTTGTTCTTATTTAGAGCGTTTGTGTTAATATATAATGGTTAATATATATGTACATTAAAATATAATGATGTGAAAATAACACAACGGCTTCTTTCGCCGTTGTCCACAAAAATCGTTGTCAACGCAATTTATTCTTGACGTCCCGGAACAAAAAGAAATCATTGGATGCCAAATCGGGACCAAAATCAGTACGAAATCAGGTCATCAACTTGATGACCCATCAAGTTGTTAGACGAAATGTTTTATCACTCGCATTGTCTTGATTGAGTATGCTGCGACGGCGATAGTTTGTTTTCCATGTTTTACTGTAAACTTTCGGCCAACAGATGGTGTACCACACACCATTCGAAATAGACTGTTTTACGTTCTTGTAATGGTATAGTTACCATATCATCAGTTTACCCACGTTTAGAAAAAACAAACGACCATGTGTATCGAAGTGCTTCAAGCGCGAAAAACTGTTGTTAGATTTGGTTCATCTTGAAACACCCATACAATCGACTGCTATTTGCGTTCCGGCTCATATGCATATATCCATGATTCTTCAACTGCAACCTGTCGCAATCTTATATAAATGTTTTGCAATATCGTCATTGTACTTCATGAGCATTTATGTGCACCAATCGACAGAAGCATCTTTGTGAAATTTTGTCAAATTATGGATGACAAATGATCCAACGAGAACAAACCTTTCTCACGGCTAAATGATCGTGTAATGTCATATATGTTGGGCTCCAACCTAAGCTCAATATCACAGTATGTCTTCATGTATGAAGATCTTGCATTTTCAGTTTTTGCACAGCATCAATGTTTTCTGGCACAACAACTGAACAACTGATTTTGGACGATCTTCACTGACTGACGAATTTCGTTTTCCTCACATATTCTAAGCAAAACATTTACAATTTATGTGCGCATTTAATAATACAACTCATGTCTAATTGATAAGAAGTCATTCAATGAATTATGCGCAACCTCCTATTCAGAAGAAAATGCATCCATAATGTAATCAAATGTCAAATGTCGTCGTCTTTTCCGATAAATAATTTTTGAAACTCATTAATAACATAGGTTTTTTAAAATGAATTAATACAAAAATAATATCATATTACCACTGAATTTCATTTTATTTATTTCTTATAAAAATCATTACACAAAAGTTATAACTTCAACTTTTTATTAAAAGTTAGCAAAGCATTTGAATCCAATTTTATCGATATACATATTTTGTCCCTAATTTATTATAAATATCGGAAATTTACCAATTCTCCAACAAAATGGAACAAAACAAAAGTTTCATTACAGGCAGTTACTATCAAGGCATTTATAATACCGCTACCAACGACATGGATAGTTATGGTTATTATACGTTTCCAGATGGAAGTACTTATCAAGGATATTTTCGAAGGGGTGTCTTTCACGGTGTTGGTGAGTACTATCTTGCCGCTCCCTATAAAATGAAATTCAAGGTAATATTTGATTTCGGTCGCCTCATAAAGATTGAAAAAATGGAATTTGAAGATGGACTACGTTTCAACTGCCATGTTCGGAAGCATGACATCACTGGTAAATGGAAATATTTAACTCGAAATAATCGCCTATACCCCAGGGAACTACTTGATGGTCCACAACCAATTGCACAAAACCCTTTACTTACAGTAACAGAAGACGCAGAAATATTACCTGATGACACAATTGATGCTGGTGAAGGATTTTATAATCGCGATACTGGTTTCATAGTAAATAGAAAACAACCTTTAACTTTTAAACGGTTCGTATGTGACCGCAGAGAAGTAAAGTCGATTCTAAAACAATATCGTGTAAGTGATGATTTGGAGTTGGTTTTACCTGACGAGGAGGACTGTGAAAAAATACTTAGATTAAATAGACTGGAATTGGCTATAATCAATCCTGAATACGAATGCCCATGTGAAGCCGATAAGAAGCCGATGAGTAGAGTTAAACACGAGGATGAGCACTCTTGGTCCACTATTTCGTCTTCTAGTATTTGTGACGAAGATGTCAGAGTTAGCGATATTGCACCAAATACTAGACTTGCAAAAAATATACCTATTTTTGACAGTGTAGACTTTTATGATGAGTCACTAATGCGTCAGAGGCCATAGCATTTTTACAAACTATTTTATAATAGAACTTGAATTGAGTTATTTTTTAACAGATATTGAATTTATTTTGTATAGCATAATTTTATTATTTCACAGTAGTGTGTTTATAATTAAAACGTAAAGAAATAAAAAATTTATTCTATAGCTTTAGTCTTTAACATATTTTACTCTTTTAAAGTAATTTCTGAAAGTGTTCTCACGTTTTTGCAACCGATAGGTCAACTTTAAACCGGTTAACCGCATTGAATATCTTTCTCTAAAAACTAAAAGCCGTTCCTTTAGACTTTATTTTCATGATTACAAAAGAACCAATTATCAATTGACGATAGATCCTTGGCGATCTTCTTCGGATTTTGAGAACGCAACTAAGTTGTTCGTTTCTTCGACAGTGTGAGCTGGAGCATAATCATAATGGAGAAAGTGAAGGCGCATCGAAAAAGTACTTCCTTCTTTGTCAACAAATTCTTGAGAGCTTATGAGAAGCAGATTTTTGTAAACAATTAAGTGGTTTACGTCTGCCCAATCATCAAAGAAATATTACCTACAACTTTTCTTCTCATCAAGTAAATTAACATTATTACTAATGGTGCTGAATTTTGTTGCCCGGCCCTAATGGGTGGATTAGCACCTTCTGGACACTATATGAGCAACTGACTTCTTTATTTCTGAATCATATAAAACTTGATTGTTTTTGAAGTTGCCTGACCTTTTTTAAAATTTTGACAAAAGTATTGAGCAAAACACACACGCACATATATTTGAGTTCAGTTAAAATTCGTAAAAACCATCGTCGTGAGTTGTTTAGGTTTACAAGATTGCTTAATATTTGCAGCCACGTCAAAGTAATTTGAAAGCAGTAAAAGTCAATTAGAATTGTATAATTCATATAACTCTTATAATTGATGTCTCACAAATTTGGTGTTGTGGAGTCTGTCATGTAAGCACCGTTTCTGTTGCTTAAGAGCTAAAAATTGCACCATAAACCGATTACAATCACTTGAATAAGTCTGTATATAAAAAGAAGCTCCATGTATGGGTGCCACATGATTTAACGCAAAAAAATCATGTGTTGAAGTTTCATTTACGAATCACTGCTGTAACAAAATCATAACAAAATCGAATTATCTCTGAAGCGGTCGGTGACTGGTGATGAAAAGTGGATCTCGACCGATTACGGTCGTGGTCGAATACCAGCAATCTACTTGAAAGGGTGACCAAGCCGGTATTGACGGCCAGGGAGGTTTTTTTGTATACTTTTCTATGTCAAAACTCAACTCAGAACTATGCTGTCAATAATTCGACCATCTGGACAATCAGACTGGCCCAGAAACGGACAGCTTTTGGTGGAAGTTTTATGCATCCATCCGACCTGACCTCAAGTGATAACCATCTATTCCTGTCAATCACGAACGATTTTTCTGGTGAAAAATTTGCTCCAAGAGAGGTTTCTGAAATCAACTATCTCATTTCCTTAACAATAGGGATAAGAACTTCAATGTCATCAGGGACATCAGGTGTGTAACCAGCGGGTTTGGGTGCATATGCCATATATGCGATGAGTGTAATTCTTTAAAATACTGGCTATTTCTTCCTTGATTGTCGGAACATGTAATTGTTTGTGCAGCTGTTCATTCGTTATATACCAAGGTGCATTTGTGATCATTCGCAATGTTTTAGATTGGAAACGCTGGATAATTGTCAGGTTGGAGTCTGCTACAGTACCCCATAATTGGGCCCCATAACTCCATATAGGTTTTAGTACAGATTTGTATATAAGCAGCTTATTGTCGAGTGACAGTTTGGAGTTTCGGCTGAGGAACCAGAATAAGTTTCGTAATTTAAGACCCAGGGCCTTACGCTTTTTGAATATGTGTGATTTCCAGTTTAGCTTACTATGCAGATGTATGCCCAAGTATTTTGTTTCTACAGCTTGTGGTAATTCAGTATTGTTTATTAAAACAGGAGGGCACGTAGAACGTTTTGTAGTAAATGTTACCTGTACAGATTTTGATTCATTCGGTTTGATACGCCAGGTTTTCATCCAGAGAGCAACATTGTTAAGGCAGGTTTGAAGCTTGGTGGAAGCACGGATTGGGTCACTGTCAACTGATAAAAAAGCTGTGTCGTCTGCAAATGTACCGATAACACTCTCATCGGTAAGGGAAAGATCCGCAGTATATAAAAGATAAAGCATTGGTCCTATTATGCTACCTTGAGGTACTCCTGCTCCTATATCATGAATTACTTTAGTTTCGTTTCCATGCTTAATGAAAAAGTGCCTTGCCGAGAGGTATTATTTTATAAATATGAAAAAATTTAGGGGTAGATTCAGTTTTAGTTTGAAAAGAAGGCCTTCATGCCATACTCGATCAAAAGCTTGTGAAATATCTATAAATGCCGCGGTGCAATACTTTTTACCATCTATCGCACTGTGGATATATCCGACAAGTCTATGAATTTGTTCTATTGTGCTATGTTTTTGGCGAAAGCCGAATTGATGGTCAGGGATGAGTCTGTTTTGTTGGATAATCGGTGTAAGGCGCTTTAGAAATAGGATTTCCATAACTTTCGACAGGATTGGAAGTAGACTTATTGGGCGATATGATTTGATGTCTTCTAGGCTTTGCCCTGGTTTCGGTATCATGGAGATTTGCGCTATCTTCCACATTATCTTATTTAATGATAATTATTAATAATGAATTATTAATTTAATAATTCATAGTTCTTTCTAATGGTTGAATCTAAATATTAAATTTTAACCTATTAATTCTTTTAAACTATAAATGTGTTATGTTTTAAATTCTGTGTTTATTGGAAACTAATATTAAATATATCCAAATTATTGAATTCAAAATATCCTTATCCATCATTTAAAGACTCACGAAGTGGCAGTCCAGTACACTCAAAAGAAGGTACTGCCTTTTGTATACACAAGAACAATTTAAATAAAAATAAATAAAATTGATGTACAACAGTTTTTTAATAAACAAATATGCTTAAACATTAGAAATGGATTTTTAATCAAAGATTCTTCAGTAAAAATGAATTTGTAAACAGACCAGTACATAGAAATATTTCACTCACTTCTCACCTCTTACGACTATCGTCTTGCTATTCATTCTAAATGCCATGTAATCGAAAAACGAATAAAGCTTTTGTAAAAATGTATTTCATCATCAGTCAGTCAACCATTAATTCACAAACTTACCTTATTGTTACTTAAGACAGTTCTTAATTATTACTCTTTCAAAACAAAAATAAACGAATATATGAAGTCAACCAAGGACAGCAATATTTTTTAAAAAAAATCTTTTAATTCGAATATACATCAAAATGGATTCGTTATAAACACAACAGATAATTAAGTTATACCCGATTCACATGTATGTTGTGAAAGAATGACGAATTAAATACCATGATTTGCAAATAGACGACTTCAGCTCCTATAGATAAGCATGCAGAAATGAATAGGAACCGCCAATAAGGAGAACTTTCTGTAAAGTTCTGAACTCCCAGTACATCATAGCTAATTTTTAATATTTTCGACATTTTTCAATAGAACTAACACCGATTAGAAATGCAGTTCCAAATAACCCAAAATTCAATAATATAAAAGTGCGATTACTGTAGTTGGTGACTGGGAGACCAAAAAAAAATAAAACAGATTTATATGTCTATTTAATAACAAATGGATACAAAAGTTTTTATAATAAAAAACGATCTTGAAGTGTCCAACGTAATTTTTTTTATCGATTAAAATAATAATTTCTGGAATTCAATTGATGCAGGATCCAGGATAGCAGAAATTGTTACCAGATATATGTTTTCATAGTATACACTATTTTAATTGTTTAAACCCAGAAATTTTCGTATGAACATGGTATGTATGAATATAAGAAAATTGAAATGTTTTACTATTGATCAAATAAGTACCATAAAATTGAAACTTAGTAAGTGAGTTTAAAGAGAATAAATATTTTGTATTCATAATTTTCTATAAAGCCAAACAAAGCATGAAACTTGTAATAAAAACATTCATTTGGAAAGCGATTGGTTATTGGAAAACCTCATCAAATTTGAGTAATCGAATCGATATTTGGAGTACAACTAATTTTTCCAATAATCTTTGAAGAGGTTGTCCTTATGGCAACCATGTAAGTTGTATGCGGGCTATAAAGTGAACTTGAACTTAAACTAAATATTTCTTGTTGAGCAAGTATAAACTATACACTTGCCTTCCTTCCTCTTTACTGTAATATACAATAATATGTATGATTTATAGTTTACTCATTTTTTCCACCTAAGGCTTAGCTCAGTCATATAATATTAAGAATATTATAAATAAATGATAAAAGACTAGGGAATCAGTAACTTTAATAACATTTCTACCATAAACACATATTTTTATTCCTTATAACTGTTCTGAAATTAGAGATCTATAAGTTTGTATCTGCCATTGTATGTTTGAATTTATGTATGGTAAGTGCATTTTTAAAGAAAATTATATTAATTAGAGCTCAAATATGATTGGGTACGACTTCACACATGGAAGTTATAATAATTATATATCTATCTCGTGTTAGTGTATTTTGTTGTTAAAGAAGAAATTCTAGATTTTATTGCTCTTCTTTCTTAACGCCTGTTAAACAATTATAGTTAGTTTTTGCCTATTATTGAATGGCTCAGAACATTTATTTTTATTAATCACGAAGTATCGGTAAAGTATGCTGTGAAGCTACCAATACATCATTCCTTACTCTTATGTTAGTTAATATTATAAGTGGTTACTATTGATTGCAACGTTCCAATCGTAATTTGATCAATTTTAAAATAAAACATTTAGATTGTTCCTCATATTCTTAAATAAAAGTACATATAAACAAGTTTAGAATAATTAATATAAAACTAATTCGATATGCTGAAATTATTTCATTTCATTTTATATGAACTATATACATTGAAAGACATTAAAGATTTGAAAAGTCCTACTATACACTTTG